AATAATTGCAGTGACATAAAAACTAATTACACAACTCCACAATTAGGCCTCCCTCCTAGTGCCGTGATTGTCTTTAAGTATACTGATGAAAAATTATTCCCAGTCCCAAATTACTCTCTCACACCCATCTTCTCTAATACCTTTGGAAAAAGTCCTCCACCCCAGCAGACCAAACAGAGGAACTCCAGATGCAGAAGGTAATACACGCAGAGTGTATTTTCTTTTCTCTTTCATGTGGGAGTGGTTTCAGATGTGGGATCCCTGGGATTGCCCAGGGATGCAGCAGATATCTCTGGAGGCTTCCTGCTATGCCAGCACGCTGAGACAAGCAGGGAGAAAATCCTCTCCCCAGTGCCCCAGCTGACATTTGGCTCCTGGGCTGCAAGCAGAGACCAGTCCCACCTGGATGCCAGCCTTGGGCTTGGTGTGTGGGGCCCAAAAGAGAAGGAAGAGGCTGGAAAAGCAGTGCTTTCACCCATCCAAAGGCTAGGAGTTATACCCAGGCAGCAATCATGCAGCTACCTGAGAAACCATAAACTCCAACAAAAATCATAAACATCAGTAAAGCTCTGGTGCACTCCTGACAGGCTTTGAGGGATTTGATTCCAGATTATGTTTCTGAGATGTTTACAACCAACCTGGAAAGACTGAAAATATTCAATTACTGGCAAGGAGAGCTGAGATTTGCTTACAGTCAATCTCCTGCCTCCAGGATCTCTGTGGGTGCCAGCAGTGAAACACAGGACTGGTGAGCAGAGCCACGGGGACAGGGGCCCAGGGACAGATCCCCCTGATGTTGCTGAGCATCTTTCACTGGATAATTAAACATTGCAGGTTTAATTTTGGGGCTGGCAGGTTGATTTTGGCTGCTGTGCAGTGCATCCCATGGCCTGTTCCTCAGCCACAGCCCAGCCTTTGCCAGGGAGGGTTGCACAGCTTGTGGCTGTTGATTTTCCATCATTTCTTCAATGCCATCACTCAGTTGCAGTCGGGAGAGGGGTGGGAAATGCTTTGGCATGATTTTAATCAGCAGAGTGCTTTGAGTGAATGAGGTGAGGGGACCAGCGAGGTCCCTGTGCCTTCTCTGACTTTCTCACCTCATTTCAGCATCAGCCAGGGGTGCTAAGCCTGAGAATTTACACCCTTGTATTTACCTGAAAGCTCACTACCTTCCTCAAAACCTGTGAAAAATAAACGCGGTGGTCAAGTAGCCTGTGGCAGGGATGATGTGATGTGTAAGGCAAACATCTCCTGATCATTGTGAATATTCCCTCCTGATCCCCAGCACCCATTCCAGATATCCCCACCCTGTCACCAGCCCAGAGCACTCAGTGCCACCTCCAGCACTTCCCTGGGCATCTCCAGGGCTGGGCACTCCAACGCCTCCCTGGGCAGCCCCTGCCAAGGCCTGACCGTCCTTTCCATGGACAAATTCCTCCCGAAGTACAACGTAACACGATGCAGAGAGGCGCCCCCAGCCAGGCAGGCCCGGCAGGCCCTTCCTGAGGGACACATGCTCCAGGACGGGGCTGCTGCCGTTCCCAGAGGCACGGAGGCTCCAGCCCGCCCAGCGCAGCCCCGGCTTCCAGGGCCCGATCGGGATACAGCTCAGGCTCAGGCCGGAAAGCCCGGGACACGGTTCAGGCTCAGACCCTCGAACCGGACCCGGGACACGGCGGAGCCGGAGCAACAACGCCTCCGCCGCCTCACGGGGCACCGGGGGGGGAAAGGGGGCT